AATAATAATAATTCGTGATCTTGTCTCGTGATTGTTTTATTACGATCGCAGTTAATAAACTCTTATAATATTATAGATAGGTAGGTATCTCGTTAATTTTAATTTATAGAAATAATATACCTACCTACCATGTAGTATTATAGGTAGGTACACTGAAGTAGGTACAGACATTAATTTAACAGGGTCATTTAAAATATGTTGTTAAAAAAATGATGGAAATTATATAACGAAGAACTTATTACATGTCTAATAATAATAATTAGGTAATCATTTCTTAATTTTTACTTAGGTACTTATAATTTTGTAGTTTTGTGACACGGATGACCCCTGATATTATTTACTTTAAAGATTTGTTTCTACTATATTTTATCAAACGTTATTATATTCGTATTATTGCTTATTTTCAGTAAAACGGTGGACAAGATCTGAAATAATCAATGCGCAAATTTGCCGAATTTTAACAACAAAATAGGTAGGTACCTATAAAATTCCATACATCCTATTCATTTACACATTATTTAACTTTCACTTTCCAATACCGATTTTTAAATGTTTAAAACTATTCATTATACATAATTTAAAATAATGTTTTTTATTTGAAACAATTGAGAGAATATTTGTGTGAATATGGATGTGTATACCTACCTACCAAAGTAGTTAAACATTTTGGTCATTGTTACACGGTTCATAAACAAAATCCATAGGTACCTTTATAAGCAAAATAAAATTGGCTCTGTGAGAATTAGCGAAACTCACCCATAATTCAGAGAATAATAATCAAATTTTCGTTACACATTTCGTCTAAAATAAATACCTAATATTATTCTTGAAATCCTCCAAGACGCTTAAAAGTTAACGCAGATGGGGTTGTGATCTTCTAAATAATTCAAAATATGTTTTTACTATAACATTTATTTATGGGCGGATCCTGAAATATTTCAAGAGGGGGGGCATATGTGAAAATATAGGCGACTGGGGGGCGTACCCCTTCCCTCAACAACATTATGAGACATGGGAGTATTTGAGTATTATAAGTTAAAACTCAAGTTTTGGATTTTCTGAAACGAAAGCTTTGAACACTTAGTAACAACTAGTATAAGATAATATTTTTAATTTTATCCAATTACTATTTAATTTATAAATACTTGAATAAGTTAAATATAATATTATAAACTATGCCCATTTTTACAAACATTTGTTGAAATAATTGGTTGCTAATAAAATAAACTTTAAATAAATAAATACAATTGTTTAGCATAGCTACCTATATATTGGGAATCTCCAAGGTATGACACGCACTTTGGTGGTATACATTTTAACTAAATATGCAACGTGGGCATGTTTGTTCGAATATTATTATAAATTATAAACAATTCTTCTAAGTTCTTGTGTTTACTGTTTAGTTAAGAATATTAAGTACCTACCTCTGCTTGACTTTATTAATAAAACTATCTATTGTTAATATTATGTGTATAATGTAAATAAAACTTATCGAATTAATAAGTATGGAAATCGATCGTGAAAGTGATGGTCAAGGTGACCAAATAAATCCCAAGAATTTTTAAAATTTAGATTACCATTTATTTCATGGGGTTTATCCTTAATTGAAGACTTTGTAAACATGTCGCAAAAATACGAATACTCATTTCGTTTTTATTAATGTAACCAAAATTAATAATGTGCCCACTGCTTAGTACATTTTCTCCTTCCAACATATTTCTGGTGGTCGGAGTAGCGTTGCAAAACCTATACGTTTCCAAGGCTGAGCATTAACGAGTTAAAAAGTTGAAGTTAAGTTAAAAAGTTAATTTAATTTAAACTTTTTGACTTAACCAGTTACTTTTGGCTTTTCATTAACTTAACTGTTAACTTTCTAATTTTATTTTTTAATTAACGTGAAATTAACGAATTCATTTTTCATTTTAAGAAGTAAGTTAAGTTAATTTATTTTGTTTTTTATTTTATTATATTTCACTATTTCAGACTATTTCGTTTTCATGTCAAAAAATATTTACCATGAATTATTTAAAGTTAAAAATGTATATCATTCGAATTTAACTTGTATGAAAATACTGTGTAAGGTATAAAAACAAATTTAGTTATTGGTTGGAAAAAAATTAAGTAAGCTAGAGTTGTGTAAACAAATTAACTTCTTTAACTTAATAAGAAGTTATCAAAAAGTGTGTACCTATTTACTTTTAACTTAATTGAGTTAACCTATAGTTAAATTAACTTTTTGTTATTAGTGTATATTAACTTAACTTAACTGAGTTAAAAAAAAATTATTAACTTGCCCAGCATTGTAAATTTCTGATAGAGAAAAATTGTATCCATTTTGCATAGGTACCTACGGTAATTTACGTTATATGATATAGGTAGGTACTACAAAATGAAGTATTGACAAAGGTGTTTAATGAAAACAATCAACTAATTGATGATTACCATATAGACTTGTAGAATAATATAATAATATCTATAATAGAATAATAACCATAAGTATATGATGATAACAGTTTATTTTGAGCTATTTTATACTCAATTTGTATTATGCTCCATTGGCCATTAATAAGACTTAAATTTTCAATTAGTATAATATGCATGGTGTCATAATAACATTAAAATAATGCAAACAACATGATGGTTTAGCATTTTACCAAAATTTAACGGAATCTAATAATATTAATAGTATTAATATTTAATAGTATGATTTTATTTAAGGGTCCCGGTGCCAGTTTTTAAAATTATCCACAATTCTAAAAAAATTTATATTTTAGTTGCCACCTCAATTATAAGACGTTTCCACTAATCTACTACCCAATACCGGGGGGGGGGGGGGTTTATCTGAAAGAAAAAGACTTCCTATAGCCCGCATCGATCTCTGATTTTGTATTTTATTTCAAACTAGCTGATCCCGTGCACTTCGTCGCCCGTTAAATGTATCAACTCAATATGACTCAAACTTTGTTCAATTCATTATTCAATATTCGGTGTATGATGGTGTTCAAAATTTATCTTATCTTTTCCGTTGCCCGGAATAAAAATTCTGAATCGCAGCAGTACCTACATTATCAGGTAGGCAATCTACCTGCGGTAGATCGCGGACCCCGTGCTGTTTGTACGGAAGTGTATGATTTAACTCTAAAGTATCAAAGTTATACCAAGTTTATTTTGATATAATACTGTGGATTAATATAACAAATTTGGTTGCTCGTAAAAAATCGCAACTCTTAAAAAAATTATGATTGTTGAACTCCTTTTGGGTGTAACTTGCTGCGGTAAGTGCAACTCAGCCACCCTGGTAGGCAATGTTCAATAATTCGATTTGATGCAAGCTTGTACCTGATCTGCCCGAATAACCAATGGCAACCAATAAATAAATGCTAATTTCTAATGTAGACTGTAACCAATGGCAACTATAAATAAATAAAAATAAAATTTCCAATTTCTATCGTGAATCTCAATGTCCCTGTTTCAGCACCTATTTAAAATGCGAATTTTGGCAAATCCTTTCTTAGCGCACGTCTACATCATAATAGCTATCTGTATGCCAAATTTCAGCCAGATCCGTCCAATGGTTTGAGCTGTGCGTTGATAGCCAGATAGCAGTCAATCAGGCATCAGCTTACTGTTTTATATATATAGATATGGTTGCCATGGTAATGTGGACACACACACTGACATACATTCATTTTTATATAATATACAGAGTGTCCCGTGAGGATTTACTCATTGCGATATCTCCTGAAATAATAGAGATATCGTAATTCTGTTTTCTTATTAAGACTCGCAGAGGTAAGCACTACAAATAACTAATTTTTTATTTTTTTTTTATGTTTTGGTAAAAAAGTTAAAAAAATTATTTTTTTAATTAATTATTTAAAAAAATATTGAAGATTGCCATTTTGTAGAGTTCATTTTTCTGAAAATATTGACGTTTCAACATTTTAATTTCATTAATTTCCTGATTTTTAATAATTTTTATAATTAATAAGTAAAACGGCAAAAAACCGGTTTTTGTCCGGGCGGCGAGTCCCCCTCTACGGCTAATAGGTAAATCCTCACGGGACACCCTGTATAGAAGATAGATAATTGTATTAAAAAAATTGTAAAAAAATGCTTTTTATCTTGTATTTTTTAGACATATTATAAAGTTTGAGAATAAAATATTGAAAAACAGATGGGCTGTAGAATATTTCCCTCTAGTAATTAAAAAAAAAAATTATGAAATTTGGTTGATTCTTTAAGGCGGTATCGTTATTCCCACAGAGTGTATTTTTGAGGAGAAAATAGAATCGGCACCGGGCGCTTTAATAGCATTAAGATTTGAGAGAGTCAATACTCTATAATATTCTGCGACCACGGGTGTGCGGCACTACAGCTTGTTGCCGCCGCGCTGGCAGGACTACATGCCCAGTTCCGTGGGCCATTTTTAATCTAAAGAGCGCGGTGTCGATTCACAATAGTATCATTTTCAATTTTAAAAAAAACATTTAATAAACATCTTTTTGGTAAGTACTAAAAAACATTAAAATTGAATTTTGCATTTAAACAACTTTTCTGGTATACCTGCAAAGTAATACTAATCACATTGTTGGTCCTATACACAATATTAGAAAACCTTATCCGATTAAAAAAAAACACATTTCATTTTTGGTATGGACAATAAATACCATTTTGCTTAAACTTTGGGATAAGATAATCATACAGAGTTTTATTTTCTAAAAGATATACTGAACTTTTACAGGCAATTCAAATTTTTAGAATACAATTAAATTTTTTAAAATACGACCCAAATTTTTGAACTGCATAAAATATGTACTAATGTGTTTCAAAACCATATCAACATTCACTAAATCACAACTTTATATTTAAAAATTTTAACATCAAGTAATGGATTGATTGCAAACATAATCTTTTACTAATAATTCACAGGTAATAAATGCACCATGGTACAACAATAAAATGTTTATGATTGTTTATTAAAAAAAAAATGTAATTGTTTACACAGATGACTTTTTAGTTTTCTTTACAACTTTACGTTCTTTGGAAACATTTAATTTTCGTTTCTTGTCTACTTTAGAAGTCTGATCAACATGAATAATTGACACTAAATTTTTTTTTACTTTTACTTTTTTACTTTTATCATTTGATTCTTTCTTTGATTTAGATGATGGTGGATCTTTTACATCTGCATTAGGTCTAAAAACAAAAATATTTCACAATTTGTTTATTCTATAGTTATTACATGATTAGGTTAGAATCAGAATTCTTACAAATATTTAAGATTGAATTGAATTCAAGTGTTTCAATACAACCATAGAACTAGAATATTTGTAATGAGCCACCTGGAGAAAAGGGTAAAGCACAATTGCGCACTAAATGAGTACCATGATTCCACACCGATCCCATATTACTTAATAAAACCATAACATGATTACATGTACATGATATTGAGATGGCTTGATTTTAAATTATTTGTTAGTAAATTTGTTTTTAATTAACATTATTTTTTTATTTTAAATATTAAATAACAATATTAAGTCCACCACAAATGACTATAAAAAAAACATTTTTTAAAATTTTTTTAAAAAAATAACATCTTAACAACAATAATTAGTAACCAAATCAACCATGGTAATTTTTTATCAGCCCAAAGCCTATGGTTGGAAAGTGAATTCATGAATTAATCATACATTTTTAAGTAAGTACTAAATAGTGAATGTATAAAAATATTATGCATGCGACCAATTTTATAATTGTATATTTTTATATATTAATAATATCATGTTATGAATTCATCAGGTTAAAAAGGATAAATATGAAACCGTGTTACTAGTTTGCTGAGCAATTGTGGTGTAGTGGCAATAGGCGTGTTTACGGGTATGGCCAATATAACCAGTACTCTTGGGATACCCTACCCCAATTGGGTATCCATGAGGAATACCACTGACAATACCATACATAAAACACTTTGAATAAATGAAAATGCCTGTCGTCGGTAGTTAATGTTTCAATAATTAAATGAATTGTTTCTGTTTTTATAATTTCCGTAAAAAAGTAAACGATGGTTAAATCAAAACTTTGTAGTACACAGACTCAAAAAAAAAATTGATCATTAGGTTTTTATTTATTGAGCAGCAAATAACCAACGACTTAGACTATGACGGCATTATTGAAGAATTAATAAAAGTTATATAAAAATGTATTTAATTTTTAAAAATAGTTTAAAGAAATTTTAATTGTATTCATTGTATTCAAATTTTAATTGGATCAAAAATAAAAAAATGATTTATGTATTGTATATGTTTTTATTTTTCTGAAATTTTTCTCGGCCATACCTGCGAACAAATCCTAGACACACCTAATACTGTGGCAGAAGTGTTGTCTATTAGTGGGTAAAAAGGAAAATCAATATGACACGGCTATTGATTGGCACGAGATTGTTATATTCCTGAAAAATCCCCTTGTACAATGGCGGATTTAACGGTCGTTTAGTTGGAAAATTCCAACATACCCACAATCCTAATATGTTTACTGGGGACGCCCTAATTTATGGTTAATTTTTGTAAATTTTTACAAAAAAAAAAAAATACATTTCATATTTCAAACTGAAATATAATTTACCATTGTTTAGTTAGGGTAATAAAAACAATTTCGTAGATTAGTATATTACTGATACATTTTGTATGTGGTGCTTTTCATGGATTGTCCGACTTTATTTGAACCCTTATATCCGCCATTGGCATGAGAAAATATTATTTTTTAATTTTATAGTTTATTAATTTTTAGTTACTTATGATATCTATGTGGTTTTGCTCTAATTTCATTCCTATCAATGGACTGTTTTTCTAATTTTCTTCTAGTGTTCTTATGCAATCGTTTCATTTCTAACATATAGTCTGGTACTGGACATCCTGAATCCCTCATTACCGTGGCAATGCTGTAGCAATAACAAATTATTTATATAGTAAGCTAACTCATTTACATAAAAATAAATAAATTTACCTTCTTAACATTGGTTTGTCGTCATTTGTAAAAAATGTAACAGCCTTACCAGAACGTCCTGCTCGTCCTGTCCTACCAATTCTATGAATATATGAGATGGCTGAAGATGGAAAGTCATAATTTATTACCAAATTTACACCTTTGAAATCGATACCTCGGCCCATAAGCTCAGTACAAATTAAAACCCATATTTTTCCTTCTCGAAAGGCCTTTACTGTATTGTCTCTCTGAAAATAAGTTGTTTTATATTGTTCAAAATATATATCTACTTTTCATTATTATAACTCACTTGTTGTTGAGTTCTATCAGAGTGTATAGCATCTACATTAATTCCATCATAAATTAGTTCACTAAAAAGTTCTTTCGCACGCTCTTTAGATTGTAAAAATATTAAAACTGGAGGTGATAGACCCTGAAACGTAATTTAAAAATATATAAAGCATAAATAACATCGATATGTTTTTTGTAACTTATAAGTTATGGCATTTACTTTTTTAACTAAATCTCTCATCGCAATTAATTTTCCTTCTTCGTTGCCAACAAATACTAGATCCTGTTCGACCGTTGTGGTTGTAGTGTTCCTGTACAATGACAATAAACAATAAACATTAAATGTTAATAACAATAAATGCATAGGTATTCTAAATGGATGAAAACAAATTATTGTGATAAGGAAAATTTACATTTAAATAGTAGTGAAGACAGTAAAGTATTAATGATCACTATAAATTTTAATTTAAAGCAAATAATAATAAAACATAATATTTAAAATGTCAAATTACATGAAATTCCAAAGATTCCAATAAATATATTAATGGTCATAGGGAAATTATTGTGTTTAAATTTTGTTTATTATTTTATTGGGTAGGTACTGCGGTATTCTTTGGATATTTCAATTAATATTAGAACATTATTGTAATTTGATTGTAATGAAATATCCGAAATAAAATTATAGAACCACAATTACTGATGATCATATTATGGTTGTAGCCACGTTATTTTCAGTTAATGATATGGAAAAATGATAAAACACCAATGTCCCAACTATAAATTATGGATACATTGAAAACTATAGATGCACATAAGATATGTATAAGCTATAATTTGTATAGTCATGCAAAATTGGATATCATCCTTTATGACAATATTCAGGCTTACTATATAGATTAGAAAGGTAATCTGGAAATGTCTAGTAATTTAAAATTTGGTTGATATCATTATTAAATCACTCTTAAATTTTAATTGCTTCTCAAAGAAGAAAAAAACAACGGTCATCATAGCATAGAAGTGTTTTATACTTAATTTTGGATCACTCACAACTTTACACTTGACTCAAAAACTACCGTCGTAATTCCACTGCAGAAATATATTAATCATAGAAATAAATTGGTTGAATAACAACTACATACCTATTACCAACTGTTACTGCTATAAGACCATCAAGATTTTTCTTTGACCATTTTGCTACTTCTACTGTATATGTAGCACTGAACATGGCGCGTTTAGCATTTGGACCACAAGCTTTATAAATGATTGCTAATTGGTCTCTAAAACCTCGAACTCCAGTTTCAAACAATTTGTCAGATTCGTCAATTATTAACCACTCAATGCTATTATGTGAAATATCATAATTAAAGTATTTTTTTTTAATTTTACATAACAAAAAATGTACAATCAACATTACTTGTTAAGTTCAACAGCTGGTGGTTCTTGTTGCAGTAGAAACACAAGTCGATTAGGTGTTGCTATTAAGATATCTACAATACATATCATAAATAAAAATGTAAATATTATTTATCAGCAGTAGTAAATATGTTTAGCTTTTCATAACACAAACTAAGGTATAGAGAACTGGTATAGGACTGGCATCTTAACATTAGTCTATCATGATTAAGCGCTAGATAAAATAATTTGATTTTAAATTATAAAAATTGTGAATTATTGACGTTGGATTTATTAAGCACAGAAAAATTATTCTCAAAATAGATTTTTTGGATTTTGTTTTAAAAAAGTAATTTTAAAAAAAAAAGGAGAGCTGGAGACATGCTGAAATTGATCAATTTTGAGTTACTTTAATATGCAAACGTGTGAAATAACTTTATAACTAAGTCTTAAGTTGTTTATTAACAATAACATAAAAAGTAAGTACGATTGGTAAATTCTGATTTTACTAAAATGTTGAACATAGTAAAAATACTAACATTATCAAAAGAAAATTTTCAAAAAATATAAATTGTTGTAACTTTAAACTCAAAAATTGAGCATTTGAAGTTTTCTCACCTAACATTTTGAAATTTGGTCAACTTTTTTGTAAGAACATTGGTTCTACAAAAATACACATTTTGAAAAAAAAACAAATTCCAAAAAATCTCTTTGAGAGCATAACTACACTTATGGCAAATTTAAATGTATATCCCTATATTTTTAATTTATATTAAATGGGCATATTATTATTTCTACATTTATGTATTTATTGATATTTTGATTAAATATAAAAACATGTGGTACACTGCATACAACAAGAATACCAACAAATATTTGAAACTGTAAATATTCAATATAATCATATTATTACCGAATTTTTGTGCTAATTTTGGATTAAATTTTTCTTTGTCTTTATTAATTTTGGTAAATGTATGTGCTCGTAGTCCAATTCCTTCACACAATCTTGTACATTCTCTGTAAAAAAGCAAAAAATTAAATCAACATTAGGTAATAATTACACAGGTTGGAATTATTTTTTCCAATTTTATTGTACATACCTTAATGTTTGTTTGGCCAACTCTCTTGTTGGACTTACAATTAAGGCTCTGAATCCTTTATTTAATGGTTTATTCAAATGATGAATGATAGGTACTAAGAATGCGGCAGTTTTTCCAGAGCCGGTTGGGGCACAAGCAAATATTTGCCTTTTCTAACAAAACAAGAAATTAATTCATGTACCTACTTATTGGGTAGGGTTCGTACAATCTTCCGAATTCCAGTTACTTTGGACTCACTTGCAACATAACTGGGATAGCCTGTGTCTGAATAGGCGTTGGCACAGTGTAACCAGAATTTTTGAGATTTTCCATCAACACTGGACTCAAAGAATAGGCTTCTTTCATCATGTCAAAAGTTGTAAGCGCTTCAGGAACACGGTCGCCGACCGTTTTGATTTTAATCTGTTTCGCACTGGATTTGTCATCCTTTTCGACATGGAAAATACAAAGAAACAAGTAAAGTTAATAATATTAACATGGTAATTTGTAATTTATCAATAGATTACCTCGAGGTTAATCGCAGTCTTTTCTGGTTTCTTGAATTTTGCGCCAACGGACAGCTTTTTGAATATGTCAAAAGAGTCCATCGTCTCGAGGAGACTATAGGCTATTACCTATCAACAATCAACGGCCAACGCGTTTGAGCGTTTCACGTTTCACGGTTTCACAGATCACGCTTCCCGCACGTTGTATAATATTTTATCACCTTAATTATCATAAAATCTCTTATCATAATATTCATTACCACGAAAAACGCATCAACAGGCCGCTAGATAGCACGTTTTAACCACAGATATATAAAAATACAGGTAAGCGGAAAAAATGACCACGGAAAAAAAACCCAAAAATTAAAAAAACCCACGGACAAAAAACCCACGAAAATAAAAGTGTGTTTTGACTGGTCATTTTGACTGGTTTAAGCAAAGTTCAATTTACTTACTTCATTCACTAGTTTAAGGGTATCAACAATATAAATTAAATTAAATGTCAAAATGATTATCAGTAAATGTGTAATAAAACATAATTGGGTGTATTGTGATTCCATTCCCCTTGTATAAAACCATTGTAATATAAGATTATATTGAACAAATAATAAACACTCATATTATTTTCCAAACTTATATTTATATTATATTAATATAATTATATCATTTCCCAAAGTGCCTTCGCTGGTTGGTTCTTCCCTCAAGATACTACAACTACAAACATAATAATTTTAATTATTTTACAGATTGTATAAACTAGATTAAAAATAAAAAGAGGTGGGCAAGTGGGTGTCGCTCTGCTGTACAGTTGGTTACAAGTGGGTCACTGTTTAATGAATGATTTTAAATTTTAAATTAATATATCAGGAGCCTTGTATTACAGTTTTACACTTTTTGGCCCAACAGATAAAACTTTATTGATATTTATAGAAAACAAAAACTAAAAAAATTGAAAACTGAAAATGTCCGTAAATAGCTCAAAAAGAGTCAAAATCTTTTTTAAATCGTATGGTGTACAGGAAATGCTAATATAAATATTCAGTGAAATTTTCATGTATCTACAGTTATTCGTTTTTGATTTACAACAAAATAAGGAAATCGCTACATGAGAAATCGAGTGAATATCCAATGTTGTAAAAATTTGAATTTCAAAAGCTCATAAAAATTTAATTTGACTTTTTTATAGACATTTTTTTTTTGATAAAGGTAGATAATCTTATAAGGAATCTTGTATCACATTTTAAAATCTTAACTCAAACTTAACTCAAAATAATTTGTTAATTTGTTAATGAGTTACACCAAAAACCAAAATCGATTTTTTTGGAAAACCGATTTTGCGTAAAAATTCCCGTTTTTCCTTAATTTTTATGTTGTTTTTCCCGGCGCTTGTGAAAACTACTGGGAAATTCTTACTTTTGACCCCCCAAAGTACCAACTAGATTCACTTTCCTTATTCCTATCAGAAAAGCTACTGATGAAGAAAATCCTAGCACTTTTACTGTCCTAAAACGTGATAGGTAATACATTATAGGTACATGAAATTTTCACTGTTTGTTGTTTATATTAGCGTTTTCTATACACGATAAAATTTTCAAAATATTTTTATTTATTTCGAACTTTGGAACTTTTCTACTTTACCGGACACCCTTTTTTTTGCAATTTTTTTTTTTGAAACTTATGTAGTTAAGTCTGAAAACGATGGTGAAGTCCAAATTTGGCGCACGGACTTAGTTTTGAAGTTATGGCCTAATGAAGTTCGCTATTTTGCGATTTTCACGCATTCGCTCAACACTAGTTTACCGCGTGCCTACTACGAATATTGATATTTATATATTATAATTGAAGGGGTGAGTGGATAAAGGTGTTAAGTGTATTTTATTTTGTGGATGAAAGTTTTAAGGTATTTTACACATTATAGCAAAATATTAAATCAATATTTATTATTTATTTGTCGTCGTCGTTGCCTACGTCTTTTTCACCGTCATCGTTCCCGTCATCATCATCGTCACTGTCATCATCGTCGTCACCGTAGTCGCCGTCGTATTATCCTTATTATTCGCATCATAATAAGGATACCCGCATGTTTAAAAAACTCAGCTGTTGGGTCTAGGTTATGCGAACGGCAGTGTTTAGTAAACATAAATTTCGCCAAATAGCCTGCGTAAAAAGCTTTTTTACGGCAGTAATTAGACATTGATTATGCCTTCGATTTTCGAATGCCTCCACGAACTCTCTATTGTGTTAGAGTGGACCCCTGTCTCAGGGTCCTTAAAATGCAGACTATGATTTACAGTTAGGTGCTGATAGCCTTCATTATTTAAGGTATTGTAGGAAAAGACAAAGGTAGGAATTAACTTGTTAAAAATGTATAGTTAAGTCAAAAAGTTAATTTTTTTAAACTTTTTAATTTAACTAGTTAATTATTTTTGTTTTTAACTTATAAACTTATTCAGTTAACATTTATATTGTTGTAACTTAACTTTTTATAGTTAATTATCAATGTCGTGCAGCTAAGTTAATTTTCTTTTCGTGTCATGCGTAACAAACTAGACAATACTGATTCGTTGACTCTTTTTCGATTTTGGTTACCTATTTATTTTCGAATTATATATTATAATAATCTAATTTTTTACACAGTGTTAAACGTCTTGGTAAATGTTTGTGTAGAAAAAAATACTAGGACAGTTTATGAATTAAAAATATTGTAACTTGAAAAAAAATTAACTTGTTTTTAACTCAGTGAAGCTAATTTTATTTCTATCTTAACTTTAAACTTATCTAGTTAAATTTTTTTTTGTTAACTTTTAACTTAACTGAAGGCAATTTAATTGAATTAACTTGCCACAGTCGATTATTTTCATTAACTTGTCCACCTTTGGGAAAAGATACTGAAGTTGAAAATCGAAATATTATTTCAAATACGTACTTATAGTGAATATGGACACAAAAAAAATAATAAAAGAACACACATCATTGTAATATCAATACATTCAGCGCTCCGCTCAGAATCTAAAATTCTACGCTAATCGTAGACTAGAAACTTTTTAAAGTAGAAACCAATAACCATTATACAAAGGAATATTAATTATTATATTCATTATTCACTATTCAGGCTAATTATTTTAAGCTAATTTGTATACCACAAAGAAGTGTCATACACAGATATTCTCAATCGGAAGGGTTACATTAGGCCACAATTAAAGATATAGTAGATATATCTTTATTCGTACATCATTCATAATGTAATATATAATATTACAGATACTAAAAAAATACCAATGGTGCGGGGTTGAACTTGAAAACCCAAACTCCCTCAAACATGTGTACACTGTACGCCATTACCACAAACCTATATTGGCTATATTCATACTATTTTATATTTTATAAAACATGCTAAATGATATTTCTAACTGTACATTATAATAGATAGATAAGTCCTACATGGCTACATTTTTGCCATAAGGAAAGAAAATTGTTTATATTGAATTTTTTAATTGTACGAAAAGGACACCTTTATACTGGGAAGTCTTAACATTACTAAATTAATTTGACAGATAGGTAGGTACTTAAGATAAATTGTGTCACATAAACCAGTGACTACTATTAATTTCAAATTTGTATTGTTTAAAATGCACTGTTTAAATTACCCTTTAAAATAATATAACCAGTGCTTGAATTGGAAAAAAAATAGAAGGGGTATGCAAAAGTATAAAACATTTGTGCGCCCCTCCAACATTTAAATGTCTTATCAATTCTTGAAATTAGAAGGGGTACGCTAAAATATTTTAAAAATAGAAGTTGGACTCCGTCCCCCCGCGTCCCCCCCCCCAAATTCAACCACTGAATATAACTTTACTTATTATATAAAATTCAGAAAATCTCTAATGTGTATTGAATATTGATCAATGATTATGTAACTACATAATTAAAAATGACAACAATTAGAAAAAATAAATGGACCAGGAAATATGATAGCACATAATTAAAGACCAGATTTATATGTTTTTACATATTGTTACTAGGTCTATGCAGTCTTATGAGAGTAAAAAATGTAGATGATTCTTACTATTCCGAATGCGTAGAAAAAAGTTTTTTTTGCATATTTGAAAATATTTCATTGGATAGAGAATATTTAACCCATTTAGCATATTTTGGAATATTTTGTAAATTGTGTAAAAAATTTTGTATTTTTTTTGAATTTTAATATTATGGTACCCAGAAAAAATTGTTTTGAACATTTACAATTTTTTTTTTTTTTTTAACTTTTTCAACTCTTACTTAAATACAATAGTATTCCATTAGAATACGCAACTTTAAATACCTAATTAATACCTCACTATTAAAATAATGTTGAAAAAAAAATTCAAAATGCATATTTATTATAAGCAAATAATGATGTTTATTGACTATTTTTACATATTTTTGAATATTTAAGCATATTTTGCAAATTTTTAAGAGAATATAATGAGAATATTTGAAGGTTTTTTTTAGAGAATATAAATCTGATATTTACACATAACAATCAATACAAATATCATTTGTCTCTAGAGTCTAGACTCTGTCTAACGAGAGAACACAAGGTGACCCAACAAAAATCGATTTTTCTGAGCATCCCCAAACAACACCCTGCTATCGAGATGGGTTCCACTCTGGCAGTGTGTTGTTTGCGGATGCACAGAATCGGCATGTTCTTTCCCTGCACAGATAGTATACTAGTATAGTTACTTTGTTATAAACGTTTATAATTTAATTAATAAATTGTACTTGGGAAGTATTACAAATATTTACAAAACAAAAATAGAACAAAAAGAAAATATTATTTAAGCAATAGTAAATAACTATTCACAATGTATTTAGATGCATTATTTTAATATGTCTTTGCATATGTGCTTTGGAAACAAAAATTTTGCAGCAATAATCACATTGATGACCTTGGCCTTTGTGTCGCTTAAGGTGCATATCACGGTATACTTTTGTGCTAAATAGTTTTTTACAAAGTTCACATTCAAATTTTTCTGGTGGTGCTGTTAGTTCTGGATCCCCAGGATGCATATTTTTTGTGTGGGTGTCACAATGAGTCTTACATTTGAAAGTCCGTCCACAATGTTCACACATGAATGGTCGTTCTTCTGTATGACACAACTGGTGTTTATTCAACGCAGCATTGGTAGAAAAACTTTTGCCACAAACTTGGCACATATAATGTTTACCCTTATGGCGGCTACTATTGAATTTAACAATACAAACAAATAAAAAATATTATATTGTTTTTTAAACACAACATGTTACATTTAAATCTATTTTATTAGATAAACATACTTCATATGTAGTGTCAAATACTCCTTAAATGAAAATGCTTTGTCACATACAGAACATTTGAATAGTTTTTCTAATGTGCCAGAATTGTGAACTATCATCATATGCCGATTTAGGTGGTGTTTGTAGGTAAAACATTTAGAACATTCTGTGCACCTAAAAAAATAAAACCATGTTATTTATATTGGATAATTAAATGGTTTGTTAAAATAATGTATCCTTATCAGATTACTTAAAATTTTTACAGGTAGAAAAAAATGTTTATATAAAAAGCTTGTTTAAAAAATTATATTTTATCAATAATTTAAAATATTCAAGTGATTAATATTATGATACACTATATTAATAGTTTTTATGTTATTACTTGTGAGGTTTATTGTTTGTATGTTTTCTTCTATGGTCATCCATAATGTGCTTTCGATTAAACTCAGCGTGACATATCTCACATTGGTAGGGGGCAGCATTATTGTGTTTTTTCTTCATATGCCTACCAATTCTTGAATAACTTACGATAATAAAGCATATTCTACATACTGTATAACTAACTCGCTTTTTATTCAACAGTGGTGTTTGGTGGTCATTGATAATAACTTTGTTGCTATCTTCTGAAGGTATACTAAAAAAAATAAAAATAAATAAGTACATGTCATTAATATGTAACAATATATTTCGAATGAATAGCTAAATAAGTTTTTTTAAATAATGCTTACTTGTTTAGTTCTGCATCAATTGTAAGGTCATCATCAATGAGTAAGTTTACTTGAGATGATGCATTGTCTTCACCGTCCTCTACAAAACTGACTTGATAATTATCTTCATCAATTTCTTCTATATAGACTTCATCAACATCCTCCGAAACATTATCTAATCCAGAAAATAGCTGTTCAAATTGTTCGGGTGGCTTTGTATCGCTATATTCAATTTGATAGACAGGTGTTTCTGGAGTTGAGTACTCAGGACTATCGTAACCAATATGATTAATGAGATGAGTTCTTAATCCATTTGAATCAGGAAAACCAATATCACAATATGGACATAAATATTTCATAATGTCACTATAATGTGATTCAACATGTTTTTCTAAGTCATCCTTACACAAGAAGTATATAAGACAATATTCACAAGTATATGTGCAATCAGCTTTATGAGCAGAGAATTCGTGAGCCCGTAGTTGTTGTTTAATATCAAACTCCATTCCACACTTTGCACAACAGTGAGTATTAACTTTATTCTTAATCAAGTCATTTTGGTGAACAGTTTTTATATGTTCTCCGAGATCAGGAAATACTGAATGACACATAATGCACTCTCCTTTAAAAATAACTTTATTTTTTTTAGAGTTTGAAGTAGTTTTAATAACTGGTATAGTATGTTTGCCATTATTTTTATCACTATTAATAATATTTTTACCAAAATTTATATTTTCTTTCTTTACATTATTGATTGGTATGTTTTCTCTGAAAATAATAAATATTTAAATATTTATATTTGACTCAATATTATTCAATATTACCTTATATCTTTTTCTTCGACTATTAGGTTTGTTTCACATTTATCATGAATCATATAGTGATCTAACAAATCTTTATGTTCTGTGTAAACTTCATCACATTTCCTACACATGAACATATTTTCTCCACTCAATAAACGCTGGCATAAATTAGTAGCTAATTCAATTGTGCATGTATTGTTTTTATAATCATAAACAATTTTGTTTTTTATTGACTTAATAGGCTTAATAAAAGGTTTAATCATCGGAGGTATCAATGGCAATGTAGGTGGCAATGAAGGTTTCAGAAGTGTATTTTTTGATGTCCTGAAAATAAATTTATAAATAAATAGACTATTGAAATATTATTTTAATAATTTATTACAAATATTTTTTTGTTAATTGTTGTCTTCATAATTCTTAATTCTATATACAATATGACATTTGCTTAGTATTTATTTATTACAACCGGTATAGGCTATACAGTAATCCCTCATTATCTGCGGGGGTTACATTTCAGCACAGTTGGGCGGATATCGAAACCGCGGATAACGAGACCATAAATCAATGTAAAAAGGGAGGTTAGGTTAAATATTTTTAATTTTAAAAATCAATTATTAATCAATTAATTATTTTTTAATTCAGACAACTAATTTATTTATTATCTATACATACATATTAAGAGGACGCTACCCATACATTTGTTGCCTCCGTCTTACACACGCACGACATACCAAATTGTCATTCACTAGTTTCAATAGTGTGCTGTTAGTTTTGATACTAAAGTGAATTGACCTATCATAAAACTTTTAGGTAAGAACATTATCTATGTTTAAGCTTTAACGATTTTTCGAAATTTTCATTTTCAAGCAAGATACGTGTATGTGAAATATCAAAAAATAAAAATGCTCATCTCTCGCTTAAAAATTAAAATATTGAATAAAAGCCAAAGCTTAAGCACAGATAATGTTATTATCTAAAAAATGTATAATATGTCGAATTACTCTAATATCAAAACTAAAGCACACTATTGAAACTAGTGAACGAAAATGTGCCATGTCGCGTAAGACGGAGACAACAAATGCATGGGTAGCATCATCTTAAGGAAGAAAAAACATAGTAATAGATGTTTGCTTCCTTTTGTTTTCTACGTCTTTGAGATCTTCCTCGTATGGCACCAACAATTTTTGGATTCTTCTTTTTAACTTTAACGCTCTTTCAATAAGAGGATATGTCTCAAGAACTCGTTCAGTCAGTTGGTTTTCCAATGAAAAAACCTCAATGATTGACTTAGAGAAAAATTCTAGCTTCACAGGCTCTTCTTCCTCTTCATCCTCCTTAGATTGATTTGGCTCGTTTTGGGTTGGGGTGATTTCTTCTAGCTCCTCCAATGTAAGCTCCTGATCATAGTTATTCATCATTTCTTCTATGTTGTCTCTATTTATCTCATCAAAACCTTCTACCCGAGCAATTCCTACAATTTGATTCACAGTGGTGCTCAGATCGTCAATTTTATTGACAAACACAACTTCTGTCCATAACTATTGCCAACTTTGTCAAGTGATTTTTTTAATGTAGACAAGACATTCAGCGATGTTATAATTTTTCCATCCTTGTGTAACGGTAATTTCAGAATCTTCTTTCATGGTTTTAAATAAATGTTGGAAAGTTCTTCTTACGTAATAGGCCTTTAAAGCTGCGATGACCCCTTGATCTAATGGTTGAAGAAGTGAAGTAGTATTTGGAGGCAAAAACATGACTTTAATGTTAGAATACTGAATTTCTAATGAGGGAGGAGGGCCCGGGGCATTATCAATCAGCAATAAAGCCTTAAAAGGGAGATTTTTTAATTTTAGGTAAGTCTCCACTTGAGGCATAAAACAGTTCTTAAACCAATCACTTAAAATCTGTGTTGTGACCTTGTATTGTTTGCTCTCCAAAACACTGGTAACTGATTCGTATCTTTACCTTTGAAGGCTCTTGGGTTAAGGGACTTATAAACAACCATTGACTTTATCATGAAACCACAAGCATTGGCACAATTGCAAAAAACAATAAGGTGAGTCTATCTTTAGCAGTCTTAAATCCGGATGCTGTTTTTTCATTTTTTGATAAAAAAGTTCTTAATGGCATTCTTTTCCAAAAAAGACCAGTTTCGTCTGCATTGAATACCTCTTCAGGTGTGTAACGTCCCTGTGCGATAACATTTTTCAACTCTAATGGAAAGTTCTCAGCTCCTAAATGGTCTGCAGAGGCAGACTTGCCGACTAGCTTGACGTTGTGAAGGTTACAATGATTTTTGAATTTTTCCAACCAGCCTTTGCTTGCAAGAAATAACGAGTTTTTGCCATCTCCCTGCGATGAACTTTTTAAATGTTGATGACCCAACCGTGGATAATCGAAACCAGGGATAACGAGGGATTACTGTAATTTAAAATATTTTAGGATTACTGTTGTAGCATATAAATTCTTATAATTTTAAGTTTAAACAGGTTTTCATTAGGTTGGTTTGTTCATAAGAATTTTTTTTAATATAATCCATAATTTTCTTGCCATACAACATATTATTATCCTCTTCTAATTTTCTCTATATTCTACTAATCTACTACCACCTTCCGGTCAAGGTTTTAATAGTTTTCTCCTATATAGAAAATCTTTTCTAATGCAGTCTTAAGTATTAACATATAGACATATAGACACTTTATAATATTACATTCATTAAAGCTCATCTATCTATTCAAATTATTGTAAAATTGAGACTTTAAAAATATTCATTTTAACAATCTGAGGTTTGAACTGTAATTATTATATCCCCGACAAATTGTAACTTTTAATTTACATCACTGGTAATTCATAAATATATACATTTTTGAATCAGTGGCTTACACAAGGGGGGGACATGGGGTCAAAAAATACTCATTTTAACAATCTGAGGTTTGAACTATAGTTATTATATCCCCGACAAATTGTAAATTTATAATTAACATCACTGGTAATGCATAAATATATACATTTTTAAATCAGTGGTGTACACAAGGGGGGACGTGGGCTCAAATCCCCCCCCCCCCATTGGCTTTGTACTTGATAATCTTCCATATTGTGTTTGATGAGAATTTTAAATCAATTCAAATTATATTCATTGTTCATTATTGTTAAATATTTTACTACCTAAGAGTTTTTAGAGGGTGAGGAATTTTCCAATTTTACCCTCCCATTTAGCTGTCGTTAAATTTTTTTGTTCACCCCCCCTCCCTTTCAGAAATCATGTCTACACCACTGTTTTGAATAAATATGGCAAAAAATCAATGTGGAATTCTTAATAAATATTCTAAATTAATTCTTAAGGTTTATCAAAATTTTTCATTAAAGGTTACCTAAGACACGCGACTAATTTAAAAATACATTTTTTTTTGTCATCAGCAATTTTAAATTTAAAATAATATTACAATTCACTCACTTATTATGTAATTTTGTTTTTTTTAAATTAATTTGAGATGGAACAAGTAGTGCATTTGATGGTGTTTGTGTAACGGGAACAATATTTGAAGTATTAGTTAGTTTTGGTTGTATAGGTCTCATACTTGAAGTGCTACCAGTATTAATTTGTTGAATAGGTAATATATTTTGTGATCTAAAAATAATAACATTTAGTAAAATAATTTAAATGCTTGTAGAAAACAAAAATATTTAAGTTATTAATACTTACGTCTTAAAGTCTGTAGATGGTGGAAAATTTAAATTATTATGGATAAAAAATAATCTTGATTTCTGTACATCCATATTAACCTGTAATAGTTCAGTTTTGTTTGCACAAACTTTATTTTGTTGTTTTCTAGTTGATGGAGTTTTTGATGATACAGCTGCATTATTTTTGGGTCTAAAAAATATATAAATACAAATAATAGGTAACTTGTATTCAATAAAAATTAAATTTTGTTTAAAGAATATGAAAAAACCTAATTTACATTCTGAATAACTGATATGGTTTTGTGAGTTCATTATTCAATTAAATTGACAATTAGGTAAAAACTTTTGAGTAAAACTTACTCAACAACCGTAGAAATACTGGACTGGAATAATTGAATATTTTCATCTATAGGATTATTAGTTTTCAAATACGTATGATCATTTTCAAACGCTATGTAACGATAGTTGACCTCCGTCATTTTTGAATTGGCAATTATACTGATTCAATCTAGGTAGATGATAAATATTAACACCGTAATCTTACTGTGATCACTTTAAGTGTATTACATTACCTTTTATTTTCAATATCAGTTAAATAATATTTTCTATGTATAAAGAAAGCAGGTATTTGATAAATTAATTAAAGAGATTGATGACACAATATCATAAACATCATAATATTATAACATTATTATTATTAAAACCTACATAAAATATGTAATAATTATTTGTATTGAATATTAAAAAAGTAAAATATTTTTAAGACCAACAGAAATAATAAACATTTTAAAAATAAATTGAGATCTTGACATTTTAATTTTAGAAAAAATATAACTACCTATTAATACAATAAGCAATATCAATCATCCAATTTAGAGTATAAACTAATAGACTATAGACCATAGTACTATTTAGTATTTAACATTTGTTAATAATAACTAATAATTAATATTTAATAAGTGTTAACGAAAAATTAATAAGCAAAAAAAAAAAAGGTGAAAACATTTTACCTATCAAAAAAGTATAGTAAACACTAAACAAGTGAACTACCTAGGACGTATTATCATTTATCACCAACCATCGTAGTCAATAGAAACGAAACGTCAGTGTGTCCAACGTACATTTAACCATTTGAAGTAGGAGTGATGATAGGACGATACCACAATGATAAAGTTTCCCAGAGCGGCAGAGCATCCAAAGTTTGGATCAGACGTCATCATAGAATATAGAATATAGATATTAATGAATTCTTTATTGTCTATGGACGTCATATTCTGCCATAGACCATGATATAAAAACAAGGTATGATCCACGAATTAAGATATACAGGATGCCGAACGAGAGCTTATCAGGTGAAGACCACGAATTAATATCTTAATTCGTGGTATGATCATAAGTATTAAGTATTCATAACTTGTTGACGGTCAGATCCTTCGGTGAGCACATGACGTAGCGTAGTGTATAGTAATAATAATTTAATGACAATATGATAATACGGGTAAGCAAGTGACGTACTGGCGGTACGTGCTGACTTGGACCAAATCTGGACTTTTGCGATCATACCAATATACCATGTTGTTTTTATCATGCCATAGACAGTCTGAAATCCTGTCTGTATGTATTCTGCAGTCATAGATAATAATATTCTTAAAATATGATCTAAGGTCACCACTCACCGTGCCACGGCCGTGATTCGTGAATAAGTAGTAACCGTGCCGTGGCACTGGCTGCTCAAGGATAGGAATAAAGGATAATGATCAAGGATCATCCTACTATTCCTACTTAAAGGATGCGACTATGCGAACGCCGATCATTGACATTAGACATTTAGACATATTATTTAAACTATGCATGAACATTAAGCGACCCATACACGTTCAATATTTTATATTGACCATGACATTTCGGTATAATTTATTGACGGGTTTTTAAGGTTTTTATAGATATCATCAATAATATTGATCGTGGATGGGCCGCTATAGAGTTCCAACTAATGTTCATGAAACTATGTAAATAAAATAATACTATTCATTATTCAATGATTATTACTTTTTAGTCTGGCGTCTAATGTCTATTGTTGCGAATGACCGGACAAGAAAATTGAATAATAAAATAACTTTAATACCTAATTAATAATTATAATTAGTTGTTATTTAAATCTTGATCGCTCGTGAACCGAGACAAGATCAAGTACTCCGTAGGTTCGAGTTTATCGAATCCGGAATCACTCGACGACCACGTTATTCAAAAATAGAAATATTTTCCTCGAGTGGTTTTGACTCATTTTTATTATGGTTCGAAATCTATGACCTCAAAAATATCTCATTCGTATAGTTATGATTTAATATTTACAGTCGATTATATTAAATTAATTATTGCGATTAATGTATGCGTATAAGCACAGTGGAGTAACCAGGGGGGGCTAAAGCCCACCCCCCTCCCAATTGACCCTATAATTTTGTCAGAATATTAATAAAAAAAATAAAAAGTGTAAATAAGGCATATTGTATTTGTATTATTTTAAGAGACTTAGCCCCCCCCCCCCATAAAAATTTCTGGCTACTCTACTGTTCAACGTACAAGCACCACGGAAGAAATTAAATCTATTTTGTGTAACAATACTGGAGCGCCCTCACAAACACATAAACTAAATACCAATCAATTTATGATTGCCATGTCATACCCAGGATTTAAGATATACTTAAGTACATATTTTGTAGTAGCTAGTTAAATGATAATTCAGTTAGTGCAGTATATTATATTATTATTTTAGTTATTTAGGGCGGCAATTTTCCACAGGCCTACACAGGGAAAACATGTTAATACACCCCTAACTACAACTATGTTTAAATAAAAGTAGTACTAGGTAAATCATTAAACCTGGGATTAAAATTAATTTAATTTCTTGCTTGCATAATATTGTATTTCCTTTCAAAAGCGATTATAATAATATAGTATAAGCCATTAGACAAACACACAATTGGAGACAATATTGAATATAATATTATATTATATTTTTTTTTTTTCATGTGCATATTATTAAGAATTACAAAGAATTTTTTCATACATTTTTATCTCTAATAGATGATTAAGTAAAAACAATCTGTTGTCTATATTTAATTTTGTACTATTAGTTTTGAAAAAAAAAACATTTTGTACATTTTGTATTAATTTAATATAATATATATTCTCATGTATTGTTACACATAATTTAGAGTCAATTTAATTCCAAATGAAACAATCAATTGATAATTTGATAACATAATTAACAAATGATAATTGATGTTTATCAATAATAAAATAAACAAATGACCAAACTGCAAATTGAAAAAAAATTGGAATTGAATTAAAACATTTAAAATTATGAGCGATGAATTAAAATAAATTAAATATGTTAGAGAAAAAAAATACTATTAATACAAGAAAGACTTTATTTTTAATTACAGTAATAAATAATAACTCTTTATTTTTTTTTTTATTCATGAAAGATTCTATTTAATTAATGTTTAAACACTATTCTCAATGACAGACGGACAGGCAATAAAAACAATTACAAGATACCTAATATATAAATAAATAATATTGCATTCATACAAAAATACGCACTCGGAACAAAACGGACACTCGGAAACAACTTTAAGATTTTTCATATTATAAACAAATATTATATACAAGTTAAATATTTAACAAATATTATTTGATAATCAGTCAGTCATACGAGCCGAGTAAATGAGCTCAATCGATGTATACTAATATAAATAAAAAAAAAATTTCTCACTTAACTTTAAAATCCGTACACTAGTAGGAATACGAATACAGAGTAGCACATTTACTCATACAGTTATACAAAATCACAGACACGTTTTGGTTCCATTTATACCGTAAAAATTACATAGGCACTAAATAAAGACAATCATACGAGAAGACAAACGATCAATAGAGCCTCACGTTTAAAATCATATAATAAATTTTACATTGCAAAGGTCTTGATTTTTTGAAGTTCTTTCGCAGACCAACGAGCTAGACTTTTGGCAGTAACATCAGTGGATTGACGTCCTTTGTATAGAAGTTCATGTACTTCTCCATTGTCTAGAACTGGACATGCTTTAGCACCAAACGCTGTGCACAAGTCTCCGACAAGACCACAGCAACTCTTCAATATTCCTGGATGTGCATTAGGATCAGAACAAATAGATATCATATATTGAACCATGAATGGCAAGTGTTGTTCCAGTAAATAAACATCCTGATTGGGCGTATATCCTTCACCTTTCAGCCCTTGTACAATACCAATATAAGCAGCCAATACACCTTCACGAAGTTCGTTTAAGTAATCGACAATTTCTGCATCATTGGGGTCTAACTGAAGTTGTGCTACTTGAACCAACGCATTCAAAACATGATCTAGATACTTCTTGAATTCTGAGCCAATGCCAAGAGCTATATCTCCGAATGATGACAGAATTTGTGGTTTTAAGTTCCGGTTAACAGTATTGTTGCTTAATGTTTCAAAAAGTAAAGAAAAAATTTGATCGCAATACGGAGCTAAATCTTCACGGAGAGCACGTGACAAATCGCCTACCAAACCAATAGCAGCTAAACATACCTGGAATTCCATATTATTTTGTAAACCAATAAATAAGTATGCTTTGAAATATTCCATGTACTTATTGAATCCTTTTCCAATGTTTTCTATCAGAGGACTTATAGCCATTAATGCATCTTCTTGTAAACCACTATCTTTGCTAGTACTCAACATTACTAAAAGAGCGTTCATAATGGCATCGGCAATTTTTTCTACATCTTCACCACTCATTTTTCTTATAACACTTTGTAATGTTGCACATAACAGTCCTTGCATGTCCAAACAATCTTCATTCATGGATTGTAAATTGATTATTTGGTTCAACCGACTTAGTACGATTAGTGTTGTACTTTTAACAGTTTCATAACAATCAGAAGGTGCACACTTGATCATATCCATAAGAGCTTCATATGCAGCAGACCTCAAATTTGATCTCATACCATCACCCCTTTCAGTGGTTTCAAGTAGGCCTTGAACAATGTAATCAAAATATGGAGTCAAGACATTCATATCTTCTCCAGTGGCTTGTGCAAGACTGCTAAAAGCCCAGCAAATGTTTGTGGCGACACGGGGTTCAGATTTAAGACCTTTAATAAACACTCCAAGTACATCGTTTAAACAAGAAGAATTAATGATTAAATCTGGTACAAACTCAAATATGCGGCCAAATGTCCATGCAGATGTATCTTGAACAGCCACGCTAGAATCGTACATCAAATGTATAAGAACAGGAATGTTAGGTTCTAATAGACTTTTTAACGCATTCTGGTCTAGACCACCAAGAATTGATCCTAGTGTCATCACTGAAGCATCTCTATAACGCCAATCTGGATTGCTGATATTACTATTTATGAATGGAATTACATGTTGAACAATATTGCTCTGACAACAAGTAGCTAGTAACATTATACAAACACCAGCTGATTTACATGGATTCCAATCATCATCGTCGTCACCTTCTTCTTGTTTTGTAAGTTTTTCCATTAAAACCGGTATTATGAATTCCAATGCACCTTCAGCGTACAACATAAGTTTTTTGTCATTAGGTTGTTCTTGACATTGTCTTTCATATACAATTTCAGCCTCTTCTTCGGCAATACTAGACCAAAATTCAATACCCTGTAGTGCTTCTTCATCCAATTCTGATTTAATAGCATGTAGTGTAATTGGAAACAGTGTTGTCATATATAGTTCCATGTATTCATAGTATAAAGAAACAATTTTAACAAGACATTGAAGTGCAGCGACCTTAATTTGAGTTTCAGTTGATTGAGTAGCTTTACATACAACCTCCATTATGTAATCGCGTTCATTTTTCTTTTCGAAATTTCCTTTTGTAAATTCCAAAGAATTATAAAGAGCAGTAGTGGCTGCCAAACAAACATGACTATTAGGTTGGGTCATTCCATGAACAATAGCCGTCAGAACAGTGTTGGACTCGGCCTTTAATACGTCACGGTCAGTCTCAGCACATATATAACCGATAGTTTCTAGCGAAGACTCTCTGAGAACGTCAGACGAGTTTGGATCTGTGACGTTTGCTGCTAACGAAGCAATAAGACCGGGCCAAAGGTTCAAAGGTAACTCAATAATAGCGACGTTGGCAACGCACTGAGCAGCAGAACTAGGCCTACTCTCTGTGCCGAGTGCTTTGAATATGTTTTCTTTAATAAAAAGACGGTCTTGTTCAGTGAAAGACAACCAACGCTGTTTCATCTGAACCTTAACCGCTTCATCTTTCGATGTAATGTGGTTTTTGATTTGAAGGCCGGCGGCGATGCGAGCGACCGGGTTGTTGACGGAATAAAGTAAGACATTAGATAAAGTTTTGAGAAAACCTGGGAGATTCGTTTGCGCTGCATGCTCCAAAAATTTCTGTATTTGATTTAATTCTTCTTTGTCGGTGGAAATCGTGCGCTCCAAAAGGCTGGTAATTTGAACAACTTCTTCATCACTCATGTTGGCTATCGTCCTTGACAAGCGGGTGCGAGGTGTTTGCAAAAGTGATTCACTACGACTATTTTAACTTTCGTCGCAAAACTAAACGGCAAACCGCAAACGGCAAAAGCTTAATTACCGCAGAAACACAGAATACGTTAGAGTGTTGGACGTTAAACCATGGAGTGCGTTCACAAAATATTATTGTCCACAATTATTTAATAAAGTCATGGCCACTTATTGAAGCACCGCGGTATTGGTATAACCTCAAAATGCCAAAACGGACAGAGGTTTTAAAACAGTATCAGCGGGTATAAACCACAGATCGATAAACCATATCATGTTATCAATTCGACGGCCGGCTTTGGTTGAAGGCGGGACTGAGCTGACGTCCTACTCCGGTTTCCGAGGCTCGGCGGCCACGGCCGCTAAGGTCAACAAAGAATAACGATCACTCATGTCTTATCACTCTTATCTTTTCTAAATGCTTATTATATGTTCATGACACGATTAAAGGTATATCTTTAATCGTGGTTCATGATTCTGTGGCTATCAGGCGTGTTCACTGTACAATGGGGCCGTCACAAACTCACAAACTCAAAACCACCGAATAGATTAAATTCCGCAACTAATCGTGCTCAACATATTAATTATAGATATAATATCCCACAGATTATATTCTTTCATATAATCTGTGTTACAACCAACTATCAAATAGTTATTACTTATTACTATTGATTATAAATGACAAAACTAAAATACTACGGGGATTCAATACCGACCATTTTTAAGGAGTTCAATATAGGCAATTTTCGATGTTATTGCGGGCAGATCGTGTAAATGTTGAGTAGTAAGCACGTCATATTTATACTATTATAGAATATATTATTATTATTATTACTTAGTATATATCTATGGTAGTAAGTGATCATTAGTGTGAGTGTCTATGTCATAATATGTGTATAGTGTATTAGCATGGAACAATGGTATTAGAAATTTAGAAATATTGTGGAACACTCCAGCACATACAGTGTGCCATTACTCATTAGTAAGACTAAAGACTAAGGAATAAAGATAGAGGCGGCCATGAAAAGGTAAACTTTGTCATGGAAGGGAAGTGGCATTTGAATTTTAAATTAAGCCAGAATATGCTTTATAACAAATTATAATAAATGTGGCTACATTGAACATTCCACTTGAATCTTAAATATACTCATCGGCGTAACTAGAGGGGGCTTCGCACCGCCGTACTTGTATTTAGCCCCCTATAAAGTTTTACTTTTTAGCTCCTCCTTAGGCTCGTAGTTAGAACCCAAATCGTTACGAAGAAAAAAAATAATAAATGAATAATTATATTATGAAATATGATATAATACAATGATTACAATGTGTTCCGGGGCGAAGTGATTGGCCTACGTCATATGAAAGTATACCAACAATTATGAAGAAATACCCTTTAAAGTCTAACTTTTTTATTTTTTATGTTACAGCTATTCAATTTTTTTTTATCAAAACCATACTTATCAAGCATTTGTTTATGTATCTTCAAAACTTTTCAACATTTTGATGTAAATTTTTTTTTTTTAAAGTTTTAATTGTCCTAACACAATTAAACCAGAAATGTGCTAATTACCTATTTTTATTAAATTAAAAAAGATGAAAAAGTTGGTAAAAATTAGCATTTTTAGAAGGAAATTGTGCATTATTCCAAATAATTTAATAGGTATTAACTATGAGTTTTTTGTTTTTTGTATTATGACAACTAAAATTGACCGAATAGTATAAAATTAAACGAGTGACGACCAATTAACGACTGATACTCAATTCTAAGAAAACTAAAATTGTGACGATTTACAAGAAGATATTATGAAAACTAAACTTAAAGGTATTCTAGGTATTATTCAGTAGAATAATACAAAAAACAAAAACCCATACTAAGTAAAACATTATTTGGAATAATACAAGAAAAAATGGTAATTTCTGCCAATTTTTTTCTACTTATTTAATTCAATAAAAATAATTAGCTCATTTCTAGTTCAATTGCGTATGTTGGTTGATAGGATAATTAAATAGCTTTAAAATAAAAAAAATTGCATCAAAATGTTGAAAAGTTGTGAAGATACATAAACAAATGCGTGATAAGTATGGTTTTTATAAAAGAAAAGTTAATTGCCAATGACTTAAAAAATAAAAAAAGTTAGAAACAATTTCTTAATAATTTTTGGTATCCTTTCATATGACGTCGGCTGGTCACTTCAACCAATTGACATTGTGGAGGTATGTACCAAGTACGAATTTATCGTAATTGGTCATAGTTTTCACTGAAGAAATGTGTTTATGTGTAATGTGCAGTATAGCTTATCTATAGTTATTGCATATTAGCTTCTAGCTTACCTATATAACGCCCCTATTATAATAGAACAATATGCTATTACATAATATAGGTATATAATTATTCTATTTTCCAATTTTAATTTCTCAATTTACTGACGACTGTGCAAAAAATACGTTATATTTTATTGAATATGTTACCGGAAATGTTGCCAATTTAGGAAATGACGACCATTCCTAGTAAATGTTCACAATTCCTAAAAGCGGAAGGCAATGTTATCACCGCCTAGAAATTGTCATAATTTCCGTAGTTTATTAGGCAATGTTATCACTAGGGCCCGGAATTTGATGATCTAAAAATATATATAAAAAAAAATGCATAAAATGACATTTATTTTATTAATTATTTTTTTTTTAATTATATTAAATATGTATATTTTACTGTAAAAATTGATAAATATTGTTTCAATACAAATTATAATTATTATAAATTAATTAAATACAACTTTATATTATAGTCCTTTGCACTCTCTATAGTAGACACTATCGAACTAATAATGCTGTCGAACTCAAATTAAATAAGAAACGGAGACACACGGGTAAAATTATTTTATATATCTGTGCGGAGACATGAAATTATATCGAACACGGGTTTATGTCGATTGTGATAACCGATTTTAAACACGTATGTGTGTCCCTGGCATAAAATAGTAAGTTTGGTGTCAACTGCAGTCAATATTTTCCTAGATCTAAAAATATCAGGTGGGGAAATGACTGATATCGATAAAATGGTTGATTGAAAAATGTCATAGATATCGCATATCGCAGTATTTATCTGTTTAATATATAAACTGTACATTCAATACGATCCGTTTCAGACCGTTTAGTAGTAGGGTTATTAGTAGTGCAGTACGTATTTATTTTGTTAAAAGCTTAAAAATGGATTTTAAAAAAAGGCAAAATGAATTTAATAAAGCAATTTCATGAATTATTGATGCTAAACGTGATGACAACAAATCGTTCATGAATAATGAAGAATACGTTATGAGGCGATGTTTGGTTGTCCTTGTCCAGCTCGTTTAGGTGTTGCATCAATTGGTTTACAGATAGAAGAAATTAGCTCTTTGAAATCTGAGGAAGATATTGAATGTATTTTGAAGTCAAACAAAGACGAGGGAGTCGAAGAAAATGTACCGTGTTCTAGTAACTTAGAACAAGTGACTAGTGACTTAGAATTTGGTAACAAAAAAATGGAATATAGTTTAATATGTTTAAGTTAATAATGTATTTATTTATTTGATCAACGAAAACAAAATATACTTGATGCACGTCAATCATCTGCACACAATTTAGAAAAACAGGCACTAAAAATGGTTAAAACATCCAATAGAAAATATGATGAACTTAGTGTTGGAACAGTAGGTACGTCTGAGTATTCCAGATGTAGATCGTGCTCGTGGATCACCAAGAAATGTATTAGAGGTTGTAACATAAGTTAAGGACGATTTATACAAGCTATGTAAGAAGTAGTGGTACACTAGTATTTTTATTAACGTCTTAATCATCTTCGTATTCAAACTCATGCGTTATAAAAATTAATTATTTTTCTTTTTTAAATTGTAGGCACTGAAAGTGGATTTTTAAAACATATGTACACAAGATCAGAAATAAATCCTAGCAAAGCAAATTTATTGGATGTAAGTACTGTTTTAAAATCGGCAAGTCAAGCAAAAAAAACCGTTATCACTTCGGGAGGCAGCTACTGTAAATAGTATTTCAGGGGCACAAGGATATACCCGATGTCAATGTAAGACAAAATGCAGGACGAACAGGTGTGCTTGCAGATAGTATACGAAAAACGATTCTGAGATGTGAAGATTTGTCAGTGGAGATATTTTATATTATATTTATACATTTTATATTGTTACTACTTATTAGTTATTATTAATACGGTGGTTGGTAAGTTGAATTAATATTATAAAATTACAACGAAATAACTAAAATCGTTATTCTTGCCAGTTATTTAATATCTATTTAATATTTCCTCCAAATTTGAACATAAAATAACTATAAAAAGAAAACCATGACTTATATTTTTGAGATTTTTGGTTAACGAATAACCTACTTACGTGGAACCTTGTTGTAAGTTTTCAATCCTTAGCTTTAAAAGTATGAATTATTGTTTTATTTTGTTTATGTTTTTAAGTTATTGGTTTGAAATGAGAATCTTTTAATTTCAGTGGACTTAAGACGAAGTGGACTATAATTAGTTTAACAGCCACGGGCCAGGTGACTTTGGCAACCATCGCGGCCGGAACTGTTAATCTGACGTCTAAGAATCAACACGTGTCAGGAGAATCTATAGACTCATACGACGACGTTTCAGACGGAATATATACCCACCGAATTATCACCATGTGGCGACGGTACCGAGCGACTCGCACAGGGGTGGTATAATCGTGCTACCAAGACATAGGTACTTACCACAACGGTGCACCGTGTAGTGTATTATCCTGGTGTACCTCTGTTTAACGCGGAGTACCTTGGCGCCAGCAACGTTAACCTGGTGGTGCACCACGCAATGTAAAACCTGGTTCGCCAAGTTTTGTACCCAGAGTACAATGGTGATAACACGATTGCCTCGCACTTATAGTGGATAACGATCAGATACCGAGCTCGGTGGCAAGACG